AGTTGCTCTGCCCCGGGCTTCCTGGAATCAGCTGCTGATCAGTTTCAGCAGCAGCTGACTTGGGGACGCCTGGGGTTCTTAAGTTGATTCTGTATGTAAGTCAGAACTGGCGGTCAGTTTCAGCAGTGTCTGAATCTGGACGCCAGTTCCGACTTACATACAGATTCAACTTAAGAACAAACCTACAGTCCCTATCTTGTACGTAACCCGGGGACTGCCTGTACATAGAAATTATCATCAGCTGATCATTTAAAAATATTACGGTTCTACCAACCTAATTTAAAAACAGGGATTCTTAAAGCTATTGCGAAAGGTATCCTATCCCATGTCCTAGCTTACACAGCATCTATCAGCACCTGTCTCCTTATTTCAATACTGTTGTTTTTTTAAGGTTTATGATCAAATTAAATGCTAATGTTTTCCTCTTTGCAATTAGATGCAACTATTATACTGGCCTTTACCCTACACATTAGTTCTTTTAAAACCATTTTATGATAGCAAATTAATTTTATGAACTTACCACTACCTCTCATCTCCACATCTTGTGTTAAACTTGTATTTTCGGATGTGACCTCTTTGGGACTATTTTTCAACAAAACACTCCTGTACACCTACAGTACACAGGAAAAAATGCAGTTGTCAAGTAATACAAGAATCTCAAACTTACATTAAATCAAGAGTTCTCAGGTTAAAAGCGTATAATGTTCATTTTCCAATATTAGTATGAGTCTACTTGAAAGAGAACTTGTATCAAATCTTTATCTATAGGTAATACAGTGTTATTTACTCACATTGCTGTTTGCTTGTGGCTGGTTCCTGTAGCTTTTCATTATGTCCTGAAAAGTTCTTTCCTCTTTGGTCACCTGGAAAAGACAGAAACCCAAGAGGAACTACTTGAGACAAAACATGACTGTTATATTAGAACATGAGTATTTATGCTTATTTAATAGTTTTTTTCCAGCGTTTTTTGTATTTCATTTAGTCTGAAAAAAGTTATGAAGTAAAGAAAAGTAAACAATATTTAGAGTAGGAATAACTCTCATACTTTTACTGGCCTACAAAAAGTTGCTCTTCTGTTTAATGAACGGTCTACTTCAACTGCATTACAGAGAAAGGGAAAACTGTTCCACATTCAAGAACTCTTACTATGTTGAAAGACTTTGGGTTGATGTAGAATTTCACAGCAGTGAACCCTCATTTGCCTCTCTTCCTCCTCCTTACAAAACAACCTCTCAAAAGGAGAGGATAGGAAAGCAAATCCTACAAGAAATTAGCCTTACTTCAGCAGGGGAGAAAAATGAATATGTCTGATTCCAACATATTTTAATCTTGTATCGCTCAGCTTGTAAAAGGTATGACTTTAACAGGGTTCAAAAAAAGTGCTAGATAGATTCATGGAGGTTAGGTCCATCAATAGCTATTAGCCTGGATGGGTAGGAATGGTGTCCCTAGTCTCTGTTTGTCTGGAAATGGATGACAGGAGAGGGATCACGTGATGATTACTGTTGTATTCCCTCCCTCTGGGGCATCCGGTATTGGCCACTGTTGGCAGACAGGATACTAGGCTAGATGGACCTTTGGTGTGACCCAGTATGGCCGCTCTTATGTTCTAACTTGTGTAATTTTGCTATGATGTTGCATATTTCAGGAATATGCTTGTACATTTGATTTCAAATCAATACTGTACATTTTTCATGAGCATTATATGTAGTTTGACCTTATATGTTTTTAAACAATGCAGTTCTGACATGTGACTGTGACATGAGATCAGTTTTAGTTAACAATTCCTACTGCTCATCTGAGCTTGTAAAACTATTGTTCATTTAAACTGAACCTTAAAAACTACTTTTCTCCCTTCCCCTTCAGAAGCTACCTCTAAACTGGAAATGAGAACAATTATTAAGTCTCAGTGGGCAAAGTAAAAATGTTAGTGATATCTGAAAATTGAATTTCTTAACCTTTGTAACTGCTATCTTATGTTCTGATGCAAGGTCAAACAGGGACACACACATCAGCTGTTTTAAGCTGTATCACCAATTTTAATAGCAAGCAATCAACAGTTTTGCAGTAGAACTATAAAAAAAAGTATCAAGCTCTGCTTGCTACAGTTGGGCTGTCAGGTCTCATTGCTCTGGAGGCAACACTTCAGAGAAAAGCAAGAATAATGCAGCTGGCACACCTACTCAGCAAGACAAGGGCACATGGAACTCACTCAATGATGGCATTTTTCCATGAACCCCATAGCAGTGTCCAAATTAATCTAAGAATGAAGGATTGTTTACAATTATTAAAAACAAAAGCAAGTGCAGGTTGAACCTCTCTAGTCCAGAAGTCTCTGATTCGGAAACATCTGTCGTCCGGAAAGACTTTAGTTGGCAGGATGTCCACCATCTATATATTTTGTGAGTCTATACAGTGCTACCAGACCATTTGTTGTTTTTTAAGCTTATCCTGTACAGACTAACTCGGCTATCCCATGAAGCACTTTTCATAGGTGTGGCCAAGTTTCCCATGCTCCCATAAAGCCCCAAGTCTTAGTTCTCAGTGTTCTGTGCTGTTAATTTAGCTCTAAGTTACCCTCAAATGTCCTCTAACAGCCCAGTAAGCAGCAGAAGTGTTGGTAATGCTGCTAGACAATATTGACCTCCCATGGTCCAGAAAATTCTCTGGTTTGGAACCGATCAGGTCTTGAGGGGTGCAGACTAGAGAGGTTCAACCTGTAACTGTATTCCATGACAGCTCCATTCCACAGGTGATACCTCTTCTCATTTAGTCTTTCTTATGCAGGACTCACTGGGCAACTAAATGTAATATTCTCATCCCATTCAGCACAGTGGAGTCTTAGTCTATGACTACAGCTCCCAGCTGCTACAGCAATACAAAATAATTATACTGCCACCTTGCCTTGAGTTCTGGTTTAAAAATGAGTAGTAAAAATGAAGGGATATTAAATATCGGTTAGCTGAATAGTCAATAAACCTCAGGAATTCTTATCAGTTACTCGACTATTCTATAGTATCCAGGGGTGGGGCCAGCAGCCAATACTCACTGGCCCCACTCCCGAGGAGCCCCCCTAGCATTCTGTGCTGCTGCCTCTGCACCAGAGGCAGCAGCATGGAGTGCCAGGCAGGAGCTAGTTAAGAAGGGGCACTGGTTTAAAAAACAGCTCCCTTCAGACTGGCTACTTATTGCTTGCTACTTATACCAGAGGCAGCAGCATGGGGCAGCAGCAGCAACCCCTGTCGGAGGTGCGGGGGGGAGGGAGAGCAGGGCTGAGCTCCTGGACATGGTGGGAGCCAGGACTGAGCCGGGCTGTCTGCCTGCCTGGCTCCTAATACACTTTAAATGCAGAGCCACAGCGGGGCTATATCCCGGGCCCAGCGCAAGCCAGACCTGAGCCAGGCTGCTGGCCAGGCTGCTAAAAAATTTACTGGGGGGGGGGAGTAGTGTGTGTAGTCGATAGCATTAACTGATAAGCTTTTGCTTATTGGTTAGTCAACTACACTATTACCTCCCTAGTCCTCTGGCACCTTAGAAACGAACAAAAACTATATATTATCATGAGCTTTCATTGGTAAGACCCACTTCCTCAGATGAGTTGGCTTTTGTTTTTCACCTAAGTGTTTAGCAGTCGGAAGTGTGTGAAACTGGATTACAAAACTCACTTGTGTATTAAGTTGGGCTGTTTATAGCACCTCAAAACAATGTGAACAAGCTTGCACAGTGTTTCCTGTAAGCTGGGCGCTTCTGCAGCTGCTCAGGTTGAGATTCAAATGCTGCCCAGCTGATTAGCGGAGCGCCACAGTTACTTTTTTTGTTTCTACAGGTGATGCACATTCACACGTGCCTTGGTGCAGATAAAACAATTATTGTATACATGGATGGAACAAATTTGCATGCAGATGAATCCCTTTTTATTTCTTAGCAAAACATTTTATTGCTAAGAAACTCTTAGCTAGGTTCCTCAACCTTAATATCATGTGTTTGCAACTACGAGAAGAATTATTTTTCTGAAAAAAGTGAAGTGTGGCTATATAAAAGTAAATTATTCCGTGTAGGTGTGAGCCCCAGCAGCCTTTGAGTTAGCGCTCTGCATAACTACATAATTGCACCTGACTATTTTTAGTGATAGTCTCCCGCTTCATGGACTAAATAAGCTAAGCAATGTGAGGTAATCCCTTTTGGAGACAGACTACAACCAGTTTCCCTTATGTCACGTGGCTGCCTATCTAGGGCCATGCGGACACTCATGGCTGAGGCAGGGGGAGGTGCCTCTCCCCCAGTCCCCAAACCTGCTGCAAGAGGCAGAAGTGCCTCTCCCCATAGTACCATCCTATAGCCTGGACCCCCAGCTGTAGCCCTCACTCCAACACTCTCTGACCCAGCCCTGAGTCCCCTCCTGCACCGTGAACCTCTCATCCCTGGCCTCACCCCAGAGTCTGCACCCCAGTTGGAGCCCTCACTTCTCTCCACAACTCTGAGCTCCCACCCCCACTCCAAACGTCTCAGCCCCACACCCACCAAACATTACTTCCACATCGGTGCACAGAACACAATTCATTCCACACAAGCATGGGAAAAATTAGAGGGAAGATTGACTATAACTATGTCCTGTCAACTGAACAGTGTGAATGGGCAAACAAAAAAAAGGAGCACTATCCAGTCCTGAGTCAAAAGTACTTTCGAGATAGGACCTTCAGGGAGGATATATAGAGCAAAGGAAAGAAAGACTTCCGGGCTTCATCAAACCTCTCAGAAGCAATTTCACTCCCCAGTAAGATATCAAGAGTAAAGCAGTTGGATAGCAGATTTACAGTTTATTTTATTAGTAGCTGGAAATAGTTTAAGATAGGATACTTCCCAAAACCTATACATTACCTTTGCCATAATGTAAAAGGCACAAAGGAGGAGTTGATCCAAATGTCTGTCTTTCATTAGATCAGTGCAATGAACTAATGTGAATTCAAAACACGTCCATATCTTTCTGCGCAACTCAATGGAAACATCCAGTTTTAAGCACAAATCACGCAAGCGCACACTTGCTAAATGATATACCTGGGATGGAAAACAGCACAGCAAAGAGTGAAGCTAAATGAATCTTGATTCCACTTTATCACAATTGTGAGTCTTAAAACAACAAAGCACACCAAGCAATTACAAGGAAGAATTCCAGAAAGCACTTATTTATCTGTACATGTTTCTGCATCTCAGAAACAGCAATCTGAGATAGATGGGCTGTATGTACTCCCATCTCCATGGATTAAATAGCTAGATAAGCTGCTACCTGTCAGTTTTAGCATCTTTTGGATCTAAATCCAGCTCTTCGTGTTCTAGTTCAAGACAAATTCTCCACAGCATCAAACACAAACACTCAAAAAGTTAAAGCAGGAAATCAACAAATCACAATCCTATTTAGCAAAATAATATTTGCTTAACCAGAAACAATTTGCCTTGACACAGAACAGATGTACAGATCCCACTCTTCTAGTTTTCTTGGCTCTTAGCAAACACAAATGAGAATAGAAAACTTCAATCCCTGTATCTGTATATATAGGTAAAACCCTACTTCCAAATTCACAAGTCCAGAGCCGACAGGATGGGAAGGTGACTCACCAGTGCAGTAACTGGAGTTCTTCGAGATGGTTGTCCCCGGGGGTGCTCCAGTGCCGCTGAGCCTGAGCTAGAGCCGGAGAGTTGTGACAGCAGTATCCTGGGTCGACCGCATACGTGAGGAGCCAATGTGTGTTCTGAGGAGGCTAATGCGCATGTGCAGCCAGCCCCTCCCTCTCAGTTCCTTCTCTACCCCGGACACTTTGCGTGCGGAAGCAGAGGAGAGGAGGGAAGGCGGTGGAACACCTACTGGGACAAATCTCAAAGAACTCCAGTTACTGCATAGGTGAGAAACCTTCCCTTCTTCTTTGAGGAGTGTCCCCGTGGGGGGTCCACCTTAGGTGATTACAAAGCAGTATTTGTAGTAGGAGGTGGGAGCTTCGAATGCTGAGCCTGTGAGGCCGAGATTATTGAGTGGCCAAATGTTGTCTCTGACTCAGCAAATATCTGTACCACATAATGTTGCGTGAAGGTGAAGGTATGTGTTGATGCCCATGTGGCAGCCCTGCAGATGTGTTCTGTTGGGACATCCTGGCCTCGTTGAGTGAGTTTGCACAGTTGGTGGGGGCTCTGTCTGAGCTATGGTATACGCTAGTTTAATGCAACTAGATACCCCTTTTGAGAATCTTTGTTTTGATATAGGCAACCCCTGTGACCTCTCTGTTGATGAAACAAATAGCCAAGGAGTTTTCTGAAAGGGTTTTGTTCACTGTAGGTAGAATGCCAGAGCTCTGCGGACATCCAGGATATGGGGAGCTGCCTCTTTGTTGTTCTTATGTGGTTTAGAGATGAAGACAGATAAGTATATGGCTTCATTGCAGTGGAACGAGGCAAGTACTTTAGGTAGGAATTTGGGCTGAGTCCTTGTCTTTATGGAATATTGTGTATATTGGGTCTGCCATTAAGGCTATTTCACCAATTCGTCTCGTAGAGGTGATTGCCACTAAGGATGTTAAATTGCAGTTAATTTACTAGTTGAGTAGTTGATGGAATTTTCATTGACGACTCGACTAGTCAATAGGCACTTGTACATTTCAAAGGAGGAATGCAGAACACCGCCTGCAGCCCAGGGCCAGCAGATAGTCCCGCTGACTCCAAGCTGCACGAGCGTGCCAGCTTTGAAATGTACAAGAGTCGCCAGCAGGGGCTCTTGTGCATTTCAAAGTGGAAGTGCATTCCTGGAGCCCAGGGTCAGCAGGGGTCTCCCCAGCTGATCCTGGGCTCCTCATGGCATTTCTCCCAGCTGATCCTGGGCTCTGTGGAAATGCTGCACGGAGCCTGGGATCAGCTGGAGAGTCCTTAGCTGACTGCTGGTGGTGCTGCCACTTTGAACTGCCGCCTCCGAAGGGTGTGAGAAAATTGAGTGTCCTTGTACAGGAGCGTGTAGAGCAGAGACGGAAGCAAGGTGAACCCTAATGGTACTCATGGAAAGACCCGCCTTGTGTAGCTCTAATAAGTACTGTAGAATACGAGGCACTCCAGTGTGGAGTCGTTCATAGTTTTGGGATGTACACCAGGCAACGAATCTTTTCTGTTTTAGACCACGGATCTTTCTTGTTGCAGGCCGTCTGGAATTTGCAAGGATGAGCTGTATTGCTTCAGGAAAACTCCTTTCCGTGGAGGTTAACCAGCAAGCATCCATGCTTGGAGTTGTAATCTGTGGATGGCTGGGTGGGGAATTTGACTGTTTTGTTGCCTCAGTCAGATGTGACTGGTGGAAATTGATGTGGTGGCCAAATGCTCATCTGTAACAGGTACGGGTACCACGTTTGTCTGGTCCAGTTGGGTGCTATGCTAGGAGTATTACTCTGGCTCTGTCGCATTTGATCTTGAGGATCACTCGTTGTAGAAGTGGAAATGGTGGGCACGCATATGCCAGGTGTGCTGTTCATTGTATACTGAAGGACTCTCCCAGGGAGCGGAGACCTATGCCTGCTCTGGAGCAGTACTACTACTAACGGAACATGCGATTTGATCAAATATGTGCTGTGTATTTTGCTAATAAAGCAACGTAGTTAGCCATTCTCATCTGCAGGCTTGCTGACGAATATGCCTGTTCCCCCATGGTATCCAGCCTATTCCAATCCTTATCATTGGGAACTGTGTGTATTTTGTTGCCTCCCTCTTTGATTGACCACTTCTATGACCAGAGAGTTTGGCGTTGGGTGGGAGAACAGAAATTGTGCTCCTTTAGGAGCTACGTAGTATTTTCTGTCAGCTCTTTTATAGGTTGGCGAAATTGTAGCCGGGGTGTTCCATACGTTCTTGGCTGGGCCCACGAGGGCCTCATTCATGGGGATGGCTAGTTCTGGTTGAAGAGACGTGTGTCAAATGTTTGTGAGCTTATGATGTGACTGCAGAGCATCTGCGAGAGGGATCTCCAGGGCATCTATGACTCTCTTGAAAAGCTCCTGGAATGATTTAATATCCTCCCCCACTGTTAATGGTGGAGGCATTATCGTGTCGTCAGTACATGTGGCTGAAATAAGTGCAGGTGGGGAAGGTGGCGCACTGCGATCTTCCCCCAGGGTATCCCCCTCCTGCTCTTCCATGTAAGAGCTGTAACGCTCTATGGGCCACCTGGTTGATGAATGGGACCGTGGTGTCATGGGAAGCTGTGTAATTTGTTGTCGTCTGTAGAGTGCCCAAGGGCCCCAGTATGGCCAATTAGGCATGACAGATGGCGGCATCCACTGTGGTGGCTGTCATTGCTGAGCCTGTTGCAGAGGCTTATGAGAATAACGCCTCGGTACGTGATGAAGTTTGTACACCTCGTCCTAATCATTGCTAAAGCTCGCTGCTACAGAGCGGGCTGGAGTGGCTGCAAGTGTGCCCCGCAGAGTGTTAGGGATACCATCGGTAACAAACAGGGGCGTCCCCGGTACCGAGTGAACCGTCAATTCAGCTGCCATTGTGAACTGAGGCATCAGTTGGTGGTAACGGAGGGTGGGAGGCATTTGTGGCGACATTAATTGGAACAGAGGCTGCAACGAATGACCTATTGGTGCCATGTGTTTCTGCGGTGCCAGTGGTACCCGTGTCAGGTAATGCGCTCTGGCTCGGTGCCATGTGTGAGTGTGGTTTGTTTCAAGCAACAGCTGTTGACGTGAGTTTCCCTGCTGACAAGGAGGCTTTGCTTTTTGCCTCTGTCAGCGCTTTGTCTGGCACTCGATATGTGAGTTTGGGATCTCGGCTCTTCTCCTTTCTGGTCCCTTTAGATTGCTGCTTGTCTGACCCCTTTTGTGTTTGGCATTCAGCATTAGTATGGACTAATCACTTCCTTAATGGAAAGTCAGTCCCTGAGGAAGAGTAGGACCTTTCGTTAAGGCTACTTTTCTCCCTTTCCTTAGGGCTCGACTCGGAGGGAGCTGCTCTTTCTGACCTCATCCCGGGTGATCTTTGTCTGGGAGGGGTGGATTGATCAGGGTCAGTAGGCAGTCTAGAGCTGTTCTGTATTTGGAGCATTTTTAATTGAAACTCCCTCACTCTCCTAGAGTGGTTGGTTAATTTCTGGCAATATGGGCAATTTTCTGATACGTGCTGCTGCCCAAGCCAGCGGAGACACTGTTCGTGGCTGTCAGAGTGAAATAGAAAGTTGCAGGTTGCACACCTCTTGAATCCAGGTGAACCCAGCATATCCCGGATGGTAGTAGAGTGCGGTTGATATGTGCTGCTAGCATCGTGAAGCGATTGCCGCTTCTCTCTCTCTCTTTTTATTTTCTTCACTAACTAAACCTTTAAAGAATATAAACTGTAACTGATCTTGTCTGAAGTAAACTATTTACAAAGAAGTAAGTCCTGAGTGAGGTGAAGGGGAGACTGCTGATCTGCAACCATAGCTGGCGGCGGTTTAGAAGGGACTGGGGGGGGGGGCGGCTGCGCATGCGCATTAGCCTCCTCAGAGCACATATTGGTTTCTTGCACGCGTGGCCAGCCAGGGGTATGCTTGTCACAAATCTCTGGCTCTGAGCTCCAAAGGTGGAGCATCCACAGGGACACTCCTCAAAGAAGAACTACATTGTAAAGATGATAATCCATCAGCTAATACTACTCTAATAAAAACTGTTAAATCTGCCAAACTTGCCACCCTACCAGTTTCTGCAAGGGGGGTCTGTATGGCAGGAGGTGTTCATATAGTGAGTTGCCATCTCTGCCTTTCAGGTAACAGAAATTCAAAGTTTGATCCAGCTGGCCAGTATAATTTGACAAGAATTGTACCTATGCTACTCCACTTACCTGAGCACATACCTTGGGACTCCTCCGAATAAGCAGGACATTTGAAGAGGTCATATACTGCACTTACACCCAAGTAGAGCCTTGGATCAACCTGCATAGTTTTTAGCAGGTTTCTTTTAAAAAAAAACTAATTCAGATGAAAACCTGAGATTCCCTTGGCAAGCGCAACATGATTAACTTTCTTTCATTAACTTTAGAAGTTCTTTCCCCTATTATGAGAACTAAGAACACAAAGACATTTATGTCTGGAAGAGTAAACAATTATCTGCTCTACTGAAAAAGTTTCAGGAGCCAGGCAGAAAAAATACTCTTTTGTGCACAAGGGTTTGTAATTAGAACTTGTAACCAAAAGGTCAACATTTCCTTCAAGATGTGGTTTAATCGGAGGCTTGGATTTTAACTTTCAGTAACAGGGAGGAGTAGTTTTGTTTATTATGTTATTTTCCAAGCACAGGGTGAAAGCAAATAGTGATCCATGAAACCACCATATGATTGACAATACTGCTTGCACATTGGTTGGACATTAATTTAGACCACCTTAATTCTCAGATCTCCTCACACAAAAGGCAGGGATATCAGCTGTAAGACTGAAAGCAGAGAACCAAATTCCATTCTGCCTGTGAACTACTAAGGGAAATTAGAATCTCTAAGACTAAGTTTTATTTTCCTCTTTCTATAACAAAGCACTCAAATGAATCTGTCATGGCTAGTTTCTGGCTGAAATTACGGCCACCAGGAAAGCTACTCTTAAATAAAGAAGAGAGAAAACTGAAACAGGGAAGCACACAAGTAGTGTAGGTACCATGATTACATTTCTGGGTGTCAGATTAAGACTGATCTTGTATTGTAGTCTGGTTGGAGGGTCAGCCTCCACCCACGAGGGCTCGAGGGGGTTCCTCCCCCTCCAAGTCAGTGGTCGGCCACTCTACCTCAGTACACATACAGGGAATCAGTTGCAACAACAGTTAAGGAGCTCAGGCCAAGCAGTCAGTCAGTAAGCCAGGTCCTCATGTAGGGTGGGCAACAATAATTCAGGGCCGACTGTCAGTATACTCAGGCCCTAGTTCAAAGCAGGGTAGCAAACAGTCAGATCTCCTAGCTCTTCCATGTGCTTGTCAGCTCTCCGCATTTTGCCTACACAGGTGGGGGAGAGACCGCCACCCACAGGTTGGAGTGGCCAGGGGGTGGGACACAGGCTGACCTGTTCCACTGTATCCTAGCCCAGGGCCCTAACAGCAGCAGATCAGTCTGCCATTGGGTCAGTGGGATCCTGACCACAACACGCTGACTCATTTACAGGCACTGTTTCAGCCAGATCAGGGTGGGCTATCCCTGGGCCACTTACTAACTCCTCCTTGGGGCAGACCTCACTCACTAGCAGGCTTTCTGGGTCATTAGGGAATCGTCCAGCAGCTCCTCTGGGTCGGGGTCTGTCTGAGGTCCTGGCCTCTCTTCGACTTCCTTTAGGACCGAAGCAGCTTGCAGCTCGGGAGCTCAAGGTAGGTATCTGGCTCCTCCAGCAGCTGGGGTCTAAATGAGATCCTGGGCCTGCTATTTATACTTCCTATCCCGCCTCCTGACTTTTGGCAGGATGGTTGTGTGGGGCAGGGCTCCACCCACCAGGGCTCAGGGCGGGCTCCCTCCCACTCCAGGTCAGTGGGTGGCCACTGCCCTAACTGGTATGCTCAGGGGACCTGCACAATGAAAATGTAAGGCATCCAAATTTTTCCTTAAAGTTATTCATCCCTCAAATTCTTTCCTTCCTCTCACATGTTATTCCTTTCTGAACATTGTCCAGAGGGCTTAAGTATCCAGCATAACTTTGTGAAGCCCATGTAAGCAGCAAATTCTGGCCTGTTTGAGGGGTCCAAGATACAGGTGTTACTTCCAATGGAAGAGATGACAGTCAGAGACAGGAGAAGCTGAAATAAGACAGAGAGAGAGAGAGAGAGAGAGAGGGGCGGGGGGGGGGGGGGGGGGGGGGGGAGAGACTGATCAGTTATAGTCTTTCCTTCAGTAGGTCCAACCCATGTATCTGAGAGAGGGAAGACGACAGTTTCCCAAGTTGTAGTACAAGGGGAGCGGATAGCCTCCATGTGCCCCTGAGCAAGGGAACAGGGGGAGAGGGCAGCTTCACACTCCCAGAAGGGCCAGGGCCGGAGAGGCCAGCCCTCTGGGCCATAAAGAGCAAGCATGGTGCCCTGTACCCCTCTCAGAGCTGCATGGAGCGTGCAGCACTCCGATGATGATTTAAAGGGGTTGGGGCTTCAGCCACTGCCGGGAGTCCCAGCCCTGTTTGACACATTGGACCCCAGGGTAACTGCCTCCTTTGGCCCCCCTGTTGGCAGCCCTGCCTCACTCAAAACTCTTTAGAAGAAAACAAGGTCAGAGAGATTTAGGAGAGAAAACCACCCTTATTTGAGGCTTTACTTCAGCCTACAGAGTCTATGTGCACTGTCACCTTTCTCCGAGAATTCAGGCTAAGCACTAAGGAGTCAGAGCTGGTCCTCTATCTGCAGCCTCAGTAGAGCTGAGAGGCAACAATAGCAGGAATAAGGATCCAAAAGCTCAACAATTTGTGGCTAGCTATTGGAGATCAGAGAACAACCCGTCCGGCCCTAATTAGCGTATCTGCAAAGCAATGTTTCAGTAATAGTATTTAAAAGCATTTTCTGGCACAAGTACTTTTTTTTAGAGCCAAAGGAAAAGTAACTGAGTAATGGAGCATAACGAGTGGGGAATATTAAAAAGCATTTAATATGGTAACCATGTAGCTGCTAAAAATCTTAGCAGCTAATGGTTACGTGCATCAGAGCCTGCAGCAAAGCCTCCCCGGGCACAGGGCCGCCAGCCCTAGCCAGCATGGCTCCCAGGGAGAATTCACAGAGCACTTGGGTCAATAAAAGATTATTCCACCCATCTTGTATCTCTAAACTAGAGAGCATCATTTAATAACAAAGCACCTCTTTAGCCAGGACATTTACCTTTCTGTAAAACAGTGCCAGGGAGCCCTTT